TTGAAAGGCAAAAAACCACAATTTCAATTAGAGATATCTCTATCAGATATGGGTGCCCCACTTCTCTTCCCTATTCCTCTGTCTCTAACTTGAAGACCTATCAAAGGGGACACCTACCACATCGGAGTTGGAGATCAGCTCATTGCCATACATAAGCCTCAATTTTTTATTAGTAAAAGATTGTAAGAAAATTTACACCACCCTGGCAATAGGCAGGACAAGTCTCTACTTGAAAGCAATGGCATACTCTCCAACTTATTCTTTCTTGTACATTCCAGTTAACATTTTCTTGTAACCAATCATCTGTAAGAACTATTAGGTGGGTTTTTCGAAGGCTGAGGGAAGCTCAGCCGCTCCAGAGTCAGGAGCCGATCTCCTTCTGACAAACAAAAGACAGTATTAGTCAAACCGCGCACAAGTTCATTGCTTTATAAACCCAGTGCCGCACACTGCTTGAGAATTCGTTTATGTGTGCGGGCGCAATTCAACTCGGCAAACGAAGTAGTTGGTAAGTTATTCGGATACGATGTTGGTATATTGCTAACTACGTTCACATACATCGTGTTTGCTGTTAATCTGTATGTGTATGTACACTGCGTTATTGGTGATAAGTGGTCTTAGCTTTAGCATGAAATATCATTGCGTCGAGGCGGTCTTCCAGTCTGAACAACCCATACGGTGTATGACCGTATTCCGTTTCCTAATTTCGCGACATCTTTTGGACTTTGATCTGTTAACTTCTTTTGACACGTCTTGTTGGGGCACATCTGTGGCTTTAGTCGGCTGCGTAGACGAACTCCGGCTTCTCAACAGACAACTACTATTGGAAGCATTAGCGCTGTGGGGATACATAGCCATGAAGGATTCCTTCTTCCGTAAAATTATTTAATTTGGTATTAATGCAATTGATGCATTGTTCTTCTCGATTCTATTTGCTGCCCGTATATATAAACTTTCTTCGATCAACTAACAGACGGGTAGTCCAGGCAACCGCATTCTCTCATCTTAATACTCGTACTAGACATATACTTTAGGTTAAAGATGGTATATAGAATTGAGGCGAGTACTTAAATAATTAAATTAGAAGAGGCTTCATATAACAACATTGTCATCTCTACGACGATTATATGAACGTCCCGTGCATTTAATAAGCACTATAGGTGCACTAAGGAATTCTTCGTCCCGAATGATCATCGATGTAGTTTCTTATTTCCGCAGTAGAGTGGTCATTGGCATATGGGACGTTTGAGACAGCGTGGGTTTGAGAAAAAATCTGCTGGGTTGGAATGTCCTGTCTCTGGATATTACTGATTTTTTCTGCTCATAGCTGGCGATCCAACGCTTCGTGGTACCAGAATGTCGTCGGCTCTTTGTCGCTTTTGATTTTGACCATCAGCTCTTCGATAGCGGTGGCAGTCGTGCTTTGTTGTGCACGGAATCAGTAGGGTTTCAAGTATTTTAGCTGCAGGTGGTAGTAGGATAATCGGTATGTCATCTTTGATCGGAGTCACCTACTTCCATAAATTTGTCAGGTTTGAAAATGGGAATCTCACTCCTCTGCTATCATACATCTGAGATGAAAAGTTTGCCCGGTAAATGTTGAATAACGTAATTATGTACATACATTACTCTCGGGTCGTTGAATTCTTTGGCATCGGCGGTGATATGCCGTCCGATTCAGCAAGGAAATCCTGACCGGCTGCTGGCACAGAGAAAGTCCAAAAAGACGAATGATGGAAGCATGGTCACCTGCTATACATTCGAAAGGCATCTCCTCCAGTACGATATACAGACATATATTACGTCGCACAGCCAGTGGACTTGCCACATAAACTCGTTCAGATAACACCTCTTTTCTTTAAAACCGACGCCGCGGAAACAACAAATGTTTGGTGAAAGGTGAATGCAAAGAGGTACGGGGTATGATGAGGACTTTACCCGAGCTCTGGGCAGGTGTTTGGCGCTTCTACGCTCAGCCAAGGGAGATAGCTGTTGAGTCCGTGACACCTCCAGGATCGAAGCGGCGATGGGTTGTACCTGATCTCTCACTTGCATGAAGATTTCATCCAGATATTTTAGCATTATTGACGGCAGTGGAGTTTGTGTGTCTCACGTAGCACATTGCGGCGGGCTTTGTCGGCAGGTGAGCCCGCTGAAAAAGCGCGAAGTCGTCCGGAGTCCGACGATGAGTTGTTGACGAACGTACAAGCAACATTGTCCTGATGGAGTCCCACAGCTTCTGAAGAGCTTCCCAAAACGAATCTTGGCGATACTGCCGGCTGGTATGAAGCAGTCGGCTGCTGCTTTTATGATCCTGTGAATATCGCGCTCAGGTGCGATGGAGGTGCATTGAAATTTCGGTCGATGTATTCTGTAAAACGGACTATGCCAGTTGGTATTCCATGTACCTACATCAACACTACTAACTATAAGTGGGGTGGTGTAATAGTTACCACCCAATGCAATTTATCACACCCTCTCTTTCAGTGGTTGCAGGGCGAGCTGTTTACTTAGCCATGCCTAGATCGGCCTGTGGCTTAATCGTTGTCATCGAGCTGAACTAACGGTAGGCCCAGGAGTAGTGAGGTGCTCTGCGTATGCCGGACGCTCATTGTGCACATCTGCATTCATCCTATTCTGCAGTATCCAGAGCGAAGTTGGGATATGGTGCTGCGAGTCTCCCGAGGCATATGAAGTTCTATCTCGTCAGGTGACTGTGTTCCTAAAACGGCATTCACAGGTGGTCAGTTATTGTAAGTTTAGACCGAATCCATGTGTATGCCGTTTATGACTGTCTGGTCCAGTGGTTGTTTTATGAAACTCTGTACCTCATACGTCAGTTCGTCCCTTCTGAAGTGCCTAAGCGAGGGCGCTGTAGCAAGCAGGCATCTGCTTAGTCATGTAGGTGGTGTTCTGGCGACATAAGAAGACATCAGAAGACATTCCGTGGCAGTTCGGAGTGCCGTGTTTTGGCAGGGATATAGCTTCATCCACTGCGACTACGGGCGCTGCATAGTTTCGAACCAGCCGACCAATCTCCATGTATGTAGCCAGCAACGATTATTCGGCTTTGTTCCGACGCTAGACTCTATTGACCATTGCGGTTGTGTTCGCTGGGGAAAAGAGTAGAACTCGGTTTTTACCCGACTAAGGGCTGTTGTTTCGGCGATCTAACCCTGTTTAGGTCGGCGAAATCTCTTAAATGTTATTCGTCCTAAGCGCAACATTTGCTCTTAAAATAGGCAGGTCTTAATAGTTCCTTTCAATAAAAAAGCCTCCCAAACACTTTTCTCTACTAATTTTTAAAATGAGTTCACACGTGGAAAGATATACAAAGTACAATAGGTCCTTGCGCTCTTCGAAAAACCAGGATCCTTAGTTTTTTCAGAATTTGCCGCTTTTATTAATAATTTATGTATAGTTTTTTCATTACAAATTCAAGTTACATTATATGCCTCACAATTAGTTTAACTACATTTTACAGTATATGCACATTATTTACTAATAGTTTGTTAAATGAATTTCTATACGTTTCATTTTCACTTAAAATTGTTTGTATATATACTTTATATGTATTACGCTTGAATGGTTTAATAATTTATTAAGATTTTTTATATTTGTTTCAGTGATATACAACTTTCTTGTTATTGTTAAAGGTATATATTACGGTAATATATTGTATATGTGTATATATTGGTTTTCAATTTGTATGTGTTGTATATATACATAGTATGTAAAAATTCAATAAATACACATAACATACAATGTTGATTTCTTTATTTTTGTATTTTTTGTTGGGTTACACTTTCAGCAGAAGTTTAAGCTAGCAAAAGTTTTAAGTTTTTTTTTTCTCTTTTTGTGGAACGTAAAAGAATATATAGTCGTAGAGTATATAAATATGTTACAAAGTTATTAAGGCGTTTTGAAAGTAGATTTTTTTTTTTTTTTTTTTATTATTTTACAGTTATAGATAGAGGCAGCAAAATGCAAAATGGTACATGAGTAACTAACTACAGATACAGATGTTTACAATATTTTGATTTAAAAAATATAATTAAGCTTTTGTGAGTAAAAATACTTTTTTTAGGTTCTAAAATAAGCCAAGAGTTTGAAAATAAGTTCAAAATGCAAATAAGTAAAATTTAGGAATAGCAAATCGCACACTTTCTTAAACAATATATTTACAGCAAGTTTTTGTTTAATTTTTTCTTTATTTAATTCCTGCCTTTTGATTATACTGAGCTTTATATAATTTTCGTTCAGCTTTCATTTTGCAACAGCAACTTTTGCTTATTCTCCAATTCTTACACATATTAATTTTGCATTTGTTTAACTTTTTGTTGTTATTATCTCAATATCACATATGCTTCCTTTCGAACGCATTAAATTCAGCTTAGGCTCTTAAATGCAACGCAAGGAAACATACATATGAATTTCAATCGTTCGTCATACCGCTAAATACCTTACATCATTTACTAGTACAACTTTTATAACAAAAAAATTTAACATGCATTAAACGAAAAGGATGTTTACCTTGTAAGAAAACTAAAAACCTACATATACATTAGAATTACATACTTTACAACAATGTATGAGCACATTGTATTGGTGTTCTATCGAAAAACTCAAAAAAAAATCATAAAAGCGCTACACTAGCACTAAAACAATTCACACGAAAGATTATCATTTCGAATACTTAGCGCGCGCATAGTTCAAAGAAATGCCTCTACCGCTAGATGCATATAAAAAAATAAACGCAGTGCGGGTGGAATTCGCTTAGCAAATTTGTGCATAGATTTTAAATGCAATAATTCGCCAACAGTCTCCGGTTAGCGTGCTTAATAAATTTTAGATTATACAGTGCAGGATCGCTGTCATAATGAGATTTTTTCGCTGCCCTTTTTTGCCGATCAAGCAGGAATGTTATTTTTTACCTTTAATTTTAGGGAAAATATTGCTTCAAAAATACATTTTCGGTTTCTTAGTCCAATTCTTATTAGTTTTTTTTTTTTGGAGGGTGTATAAGTGCGTGTTATTGTTTCAGTGTTTTTGTAATAAATATTTTTTTTTTATAAATGTTATTGTACGCTGCATTGCTTTTTTCAATTCATCTTAAACATCATCAATAAGATGACCTTCCACCACCGCTGAGTGATGATAACGACTACGTTGCGAAAAATCTGCATTCTCTTCATTGAGCTGCGTAGGCGAGAAATCAACGCCGGGACAGGTAGGCGTTACGACAACCTGCTCGTACTGGTGTATGCGTTTACTGAAAGAGAAACAAAGTTAATAACAAAAATGTATGGTTAAAAAAAGGAAGATGTTAATGTTGTAAAAGCATGCGAATTTCGCAAAAAGTTTGGAAAGTGTTGCCGTGTGTTAGGTTAGGTTGTCCGACTGGAAATGACAAAGAGAGCCAAGAATATAAAAGTTGCATATTTTTGGCAATCTAAATGTGTTGTATACTCCTTCCCTTTTACTTTAATTACTTTCTAAGCTTAACAAAATTCGCCAAGCATTTTGTTTTTTCATCCGTAACCTAACTATTCAACCTTAATCTAACTCACCCGAAGCACCGGAATATAACGCTCTTAAGCCACGCAAAGAAATTAAATTCCGCTGTTAAGCCCGGTTTCACTGCCGGATTGGCTGTGCCCACATAGAACCATACAATGAACACAACCAGGTAGCAGGTGAGCGCGTAATACCAGTTGACCAGCAACATCACGAGTAACTTCAGGAAAGTCTAAAAGCAACAGCATTATAAATAATACTCATTAATTTATTCTCTTAGGCACGCCGCATACCCCCATAAGTGAGGCCCAACGATTGCAGAACGGCGAATACCAGTTCTTCGTCTTCGAGTGTATGGGCAGACGTATAGGCGCTATGGGCTCCTCATCCTCGGCAGCCTGCTCTGGCACGCCAGCTTCAGCTGCATTTGTGCTGTTGTAACCATCACGAAAAGCGACACCATTTGTATCGCTGCCGTAGAGTCGGTGCTGTTGTTGTTGGATATGATTGCGTTCAGTCTCATGATTGGCTGCCGTCGCCGCTGCCGCCGCAGCAGCTGCTATAGCAGCAGCATTAGATGATGTGATATTTGAAGGCACATGATGTGGTGAATTTTGTGGTGTTTGTTGTAAGTTTTTATGGCGTACACGATCTGGGAAAAGTAAATCCAAATCGTTGCCATCCTGTCCAGGTGATTGCGTTGAGCCATAGCGACGCGTCTCATACGAGGGACTTGACGCTTGTATACGGAAGCGTTCTTCACGTTGCTCTTGTATGTCAAAAGTTTGAGCCAAAGCAAAGTAGGAGTAGTCAATGCAAGCGTAGGTAAGCAAGAATGGCATTGTTACGATGGGTGCAAGAAAGTTAATATCACCCACTATGATAAATGTGACTGTAACAACAGCTACTACACCCATTGCGTAGAGTGGCACCTTGTTGGGTCCGCGCTGTGAGGTGGAAATTAAAAAATCATTATCGGTTTAGGTTAAATTGCTTCAAATTGTACTAACACCCTTGCCCAGCACATCAATGCCGGGTATAGCGCTCTCATTGGCGATGCTTTGCAGCACACGCGGCGTGCCATACATTGCACCCAAACACGAAGACATGCTGGATACATAAATGCCCGCAAGCAATAGAAACGGCACCGCAGATACTTTTACAGAAATCATAAAGTCGTTAAGCAGCGTAGGTCGGGTGCAAGTAGCGCCCAAGAATAGCACAAAAACCATGTAAAGGAATGTGCTAAAAACCACAACAACAAAAATAGGTTAGATTTGCGCTAACCACGCAGTTAATTATACTCCGCTTACCCTGTGCCGAACGCCGCCAGTGTGCCATTCGGTATATCAGTCGAGGGGGCGCGCAGGTCACCGCTCATGTTAATTCCGGATAGCACGCCTGTGACGGTTGGAAAGAATACACCAAACACCCTAAACCAGGAGTAGCCGTCCTCATACTTCGGCATCAAATTATCCCAGAAGTTACTACTGTCCCAGCCATCAAAACCATTATCTGTAAATGATCGTCAAATAAAGCAGATTTGAAGTAAAAAATTTATACCCCAACTTACCTGGATCTCCGCCTATGAAGCTGCCCACCATAAAGTCTAATGCTGACACTAGTAGTATCATTAGCAATATGAATTGCAGTTTAATAACCCACTTCACGCCGGCGACATTAATGCAACCTAGCAGTAGCACCGCTGCTGTAGCGAAACCACGTATCGCCCACTTATTGTCCGCCAGTCCGACAAGTCCGGCCATACTCTCGCCGAAACCCATCACATTCAAGGCGCATCCCACAGCTTGTCCAAAGCAGTATAGTACACCAAGTGAGCCACCAAAGCGCGAGCCCAGCGTATGTGCTATAAGAAAATACACACCGCCACTCTCTACGCGACAGCGCTCGCATATACCTACTGCTGAAAGCACCGAGACTAAAGCTATCACTACAGTGCAAAAAATAATTAGCACTGCATTGATTATACCAGCTTGCGCAACAACCCAACCAGAGCGTAAGAATACGATCACACCGAATATATTTATAAGACAAGATGTGAATACGCCGTCCCAAGTGCCGAAGAGCACTGGCTGTGAGATAAAGAAATTTGAACGCCACCTGTAAAAAATTTATTGGCAATATACATATAGGTACTGTTATCAAATAATTGTATTTGCTTTATAGCAGACAAATTACCATGGCTTATCGCCTTGTTCATCGGCGAATATTTCATTCCGTCCAGACGCTTGATGTCCACCCGCCGCATAAGTGTACTCGTTGCCCAAATCCACAAAGCCACCAGAATTGCCGCGCTGACGAAAGTTTGCTACCACAACATCCCCGGGGCCATCATCATCTAGGCCAAAGCGATTCCAATCGACTTGGCGTCGACCACCGCCGTTAGCGCGAACACCGCCGCCGCTATTACTCATCGTTATTCTTGTTGGTGCGTCGCTAGTTAGCTGTTAGTAATTAGCTTTCTATGTATGCTGGCTTTTGTTTATGACTATTTTCGGTGCTCCACGCAGGCAATTGGCCACGAATTCACCACAAACAGCCTGCCTGCCAGCTGATAGTATTTTGCTTTATTTTTAATGTTTACCGAGTTTTACTCAATGGAAAATGTTTCGCAATTATTAAATCCATATGATAGCTTGTCGTAGGCGTGGTTTTGTGCCGATTTTTGTTGCCAGAAAATTTTTGGTTTTAAGAAAAATTGCGTTTACGATTGCTTTTATTTATTTGTTTTGTGTGTTTGTGTGCCAACCAGTTGTCAAACTGATGTCATTTGCAGGGCTGCCAGACGACTGAACGTGTACCCAAGAAAAATACTCGAAAACATGTTCGGCTTGAGAAAATCTTGTTGGTCTTGCACAGTGTATCTAATCGTTTTTGAGTGCGGAAAAATCACTCGAATTAAAATGAAGAAAAAAAATTAAATGAAATATAAGTAAGCATTACAAAACAGAAAAATAATTATTTAAATTAAATTCAGATAAGTTAAAAAAATAAAAAATAAATCAACAGAATGTAATAAAAATAAAAGAAAAAATCAAATTAAAAATTTATTAAAATGGAATAGAATTAAATGAAATTAAGCAAAATAAATACAAAAATTGTTCGCGCCACAGACAAGTCTTAACAATTTTTTTTTTTTGATATTCAATTTAGTTATTTTTGTAAAAATATAGTTCAACAAAGTCCAAATAAATCCATGTTTAAAGCCGCACATATGCAATACTAAAAAAAATCAACAAACTTGCGTAAAAATTTCAACAGTAAGTCCTAGCTACTTCGAACTTGCACTCTATTATATTAAATTTGAAAGAGCTACAAATCCGCATACTTAAAATCTTGCTAGGGAATCTAACTAAAAACTCGACATGTTAACAAAAATTTTATTTTATTTTTTAATATCGCACAAAGTTTAAAACTGGGATTTATTAGTCCTCTGTTAAATAATAAACTATATTTTTAGAAAAAAAGGATGTTAATGAAATAGAGAGATAAATTCATAAAACTTGCCAATATGTGGTGCGTGTATAATTATGACAGGGTATGTATTAATACACAGTAAATTATTTTATTATTTCTGCATCAAAAATTTAAAAAAATTAATTTATATGTATATCGAGTCAAACTTAAGGTTTTAGATTTTGCTGATTTAAAAAGAAAAAAAATATTTATACTGCATTAAATTTTAAGAACTTATTTTATTTTTTCTTTTTTGTTTAGCTTTTAGATTTTGTTGTGTTAAAAAAGATCAAATTTTTATGAACTTATTTAATTTTTTGTTTGTTTTTTAATTTCATTTTTTAACTTAATTTGCTTCAAATTCTTAACCTGTATTGTTTTAAACAGACATTTTTTGTTTAATCTTTATTTAATTTTTGGGAAGTCACTTTACATATTTTTTAATTTGCTTAGTTAATATTTTTAAATTTAATGTTCTTTTAATTTTTAGAATTTATTGTTTTAAAAACGAAAATATTTTTTTTGTTTTTGTTATTTTATTTCCTTATAACAATTATATTCAATAATTTTTTTAAGCTTGGGCCGTTTTTAATGAAAAACTTATTGTTGGAAAGCAACAATAATTTGAAAAAATGGTAGAAATTATAGCTTTTTCGGAAATTACCACATTTTCTCATCAGACTTCTTTCAGTAGGATTCGAACCGACGATCCTACTGGCTCAGCCAGTTGCCTTTGTACTGTGCTTCGCCTTGAGAATTCTTGTTGCTTTTTTCCACTATTTCATTTGTTAAGCCAACTACAATCAAGCACAGCTATTCCAGTGCTATTTAAACTTGATCATGTGGTTGTTGGTTTTTTTTTGTTTTTTTTTTGGTAATATTTCTATTATTAAAATGTTTAACTTTTTAGATGTGCTCGTCCTTAAGTTATTTGTTTTTCATTAAAAACGGCCTCAAGCTCAATAAAAATTGTTTAATAAAATATTTTTATTTAAAAATAAAAAAATTTAATTTTATGAACTTTTTTTAATTACATATTTCTTTTTCTTTTTTTTAATTAAATTTAACTTTTTGGAGTTTATTTAAGAAATCTCGCGAGGTTCCTTGGCTAAATGCTTTTAGGTCAAGTGTTTCCAGAACGGTGACCATAGGAATCGAATTTCGGGCCTAGTAAAGTCCAATACGCTTTCTGTCAGAGTTTTTTGTAGGTGGAGTCGCCAGTATAACGCGCCAACTATGTCGACATTAACCAGCGTACCTACTGCGGACGTCTCTGAAAGTGTTAGCCTCGGTTTTGAAACCATTCGATTGGTGTATTATTTTCTGATGGAATTCTCTGGCTGTCAACATCTAACTTACCTCTTTTCTCACTCATATTCTCAAGGTATTTCTCAAGTGACGCTCGCCTAGAAATCGGGCTTAGGGTGGTCAGAACACTTTTTGTCATATCAGTTGTTTCTGCCAAGAACTAAGACCATAGCATTTCGAAGAAATTGAGAGTTGCATATGCATTGTGAGAAGGAAAGTGATATAACCAACTCTTTTCACGACGCCCTGGAAACAACTCAACTAAGGCCCCTTTCGCATTGAATCGAACCCATCGAAACAGCTCGTTACCTGGGCCTACCGTTAGTTGAGCTTGACGATTCTATGGTTGGAAGAGTAGCTCCCGTAAAGAGGACCAAGGTGCAGCTTCAATAACAGAAACAACAAGCAACCGTATCAAACGTTACTTTGAGATCAGGAAGGCAGTTTGGGCCTGGCAAATCGGTATGCCTTGTCGTTTCAAAGCAGAGCGTTTCTGGGGTGAGTGTAACTGTATCACCCCAGAGAAATTGCTTCGATTCAAGCTTTGCTTTCAATTCAAGCTTACGATTGTTAATGATCGTTAAATAGACTAAGCTTTTCTTAAAGAGTGGTTCAAGTTTTAATTAGTCCAAGTTTAATTAATACTACTTTCCCAATCCCCCGTGAGTATCCGGTCACGGAGGAATATAAAGAAATGTGTCAGTCGATCACCTAGCAAAGAAAGTAGGCCCAAACATGACCAGAAAAGGGTTTACCTAGATCGGAAACAATAAAAATGAAAGAACAACACTGGAGTAGTAATAATAGAAAATATAAAGGCTCAAACCTCCCTAAAAGGAAATTGAGGAATATCATGGGCATCCTCACGGGGCACTGCTCAAAAGTTCCCAGTCGCTCTCCGCTAAAGGGAACCATTAGATCAGCTCAGCTTCTTAAACGCCGGTCGAATCGAAGTTTGATTAGAGATCACGGCCTTCGATAGCGAGTGTGCTTCGTCAATTTGAATAGTTTTGAGGGAAAACAACTGTAATTTTATTCAAATCGATCAAATCGATCACGAATGCCATGAATCCGGGCCAGGCTTAGACTACTTATTTAAATTTTTAAGGCACTTACATGCTATTATTTAATATTACGTGAAATTGCAGAAAGGTATTAAAAAAATTAAGGTATATATTACTTTAACCAACATAAGTACACTTTTATTATTCAATATACATGCATACATATTCTTAAACAAATTGCCATATAAATTAAATTCATGCTCCGAAGAAGACCTCCTCTAAATCCATACCAATGCGCTAATTACCCCAACGCTTTGGACCTCCAGTATAGGTGCGATCGTGCGGATTAAATGGTGGCGTGCCGGGTACTTGTATTGGGCGTTGAGCGCCACCATTACGGCGATTCAAGTTGCGATCGACGAACGGCTCAGGCTCAGCGCATGTCAGTTGTGCCATCAGAGCTATAACAGCCAAGATCAGAATGCCGAAGAAGTTTTTGCCGAACATTTTTCCAAGTGTTTATTGCAAACTGAGAAGATTTGTGTTTAAGAATTGAGTTTTAATTAGCTGAATGTTATGCCGCTGAATGATTTCAATCAGCGCTTGTAAGCACTATTTATACGAAAATGTTGATGATCGCAAAAAAGTACCGCTAAATTTGGCGGATTGCAACAAAATGAGAATGTGATGAAAGCGGAATGTTTTTAAGGTGCACTATGAATTATAATTTTATGCTTGTACATGCCCATATAGAAAGAAGTACGTATGCATATAAATACCTAAGTATGTATGTTTCTTAAATGAGATTAAAAAAAAGCAGACAGATCGAAGTGTTTTCTGAGCGTTGACTGATAAGAACCGCTGCAGGGGAATCCTCAGGCGAAATAATAAAAGATCATACATACGTATGTACATACCTACAAAAGTAGGGGGAATTCTCATGTACATATACACATGTATATATAAGTACATCCCCAAAGGTGTTTAGTAACCCAAGCCCATTCCTCTATGACGACCATTAATCGCTACATTTGTTTGTATGTATTGCATATTTCTTTCGCAATAGATTGGCGGGCTATGATCTTGTCTAAGCACCTTCATACATACATCCATAAACATCGAGGCACTTATTTTACACTTCTCACTAGTTCTGTTCCTTGAAAAACCATCAGCAGGATTTCTGGATTCGAGAAAATATTCTCCTTACTACTGCGTGTGGCTTTAGACCCCTTAGTTGACTTCAGTCGTGGTCCAAACACTTTACAAATTAGGTCGAGGCGGTTGGTACTTACATACATATATATTTTCAAACAGTGCAGACAGGTCTTTCTGAGCTTGGCTTATCCATTGCGTTCGTGGATGTCCATGCTTCCGTCGGTCACTCATGGTTGCGGCATTCGAAAATCTGTTTTTTATCTAAGCATCCTCTCGGTCGCTTGCGCCACTAGAGCCATAGATCTTGCTTAGATTAGTTCGCGCTAATATCACTAAAGTCTACTTATCTTTGATCATCGTTCATTGAAGTGAGCTTAAGAGCACTAAGACACTGCAGAATTTTATAATATCTTTAGGATTTGGTTTTCTAGGAACCTGTATTCTGAATCTGCTGCCATGGCTCTGATAAACAGGTATTTCAGGCAATTGTG